ATACGGTTATTGGATTAATGGAAAATTGTGTCTTCTGCGTTTCAATGACAGCACACCGTCAAGCCTATTTTAGTGGGCTTTTTTTTTTTTTTTTTTGGTGCGGGGGTCTACATGGTGTCCTGGCAAGCGCAAGGGCCTGAGTTCAATACAAATAAAAAAAAAAAAAAAAAAAAAAACCAACCAACCAAACAAAAAACCCACATTTGCCTACACACCACAAATTTTACTTTTCCACTTGTGCTTATAAAACAAGTAATTTATTTTAGTTTTTTTTTTTTTAAGAATGGAAACATTTGTTGGAGAAGAGGGTGGGGAATAGAGAGAGGAAACAAGGATCAGAAATAGCTCCTGAGAGAGAGTTGGTCCCAAATGGTCTGCCCTTATTTTAGTTCTTGCTTTCTGTAAGAGCTCTTGCCACTGAAAAAATTTTAATCCTATAAGATCATTTTATTTCAGTTTTTTTTTTTTTAAACTAGGAATTGAACTCAGGCCCTTGTGCTTGCCAGGGAAGTGCTTACTCCACTGAGCCATCTCCGTGGCCCTTTATTTCAGTTTTTGTCACATATAAAAATTATGTGTGGTCTTTCCTTCTTCTTTCTTTCTTTCTTTCTTTCTTTCTTTCTTTCTTTCTTTCTGTCTGTCTGTCTGTCTTTCTTTCTTTCTTTCTTTCTGAGACAGGGTTTCGCCATGTAGTTCAGGCTGGCCTTGAACTCAAGGTGATCTTCAGCCTCCCAAGTTCTGGGATTACTGTCATGCACCACCATGCTGGGCTTGCCATTCCTTTTTCTACTTCTTCCTCTGATAGCAATACCTTGGTTTCTGAGGATATTAACCACCAGAACTTGATGCCAATAAACTTCAAAGTGTTCTGAGCATGACTAATTATGATGGAGGGGTTAGTCTCCAACTTAAAGGAAATTATAAAAGTTTTGGGAGCCCAATCTTTAAATAAAAGCAGAAGCAATTTTTGACACCATCTTCATAGTTATCTCCATTAGAGTATTTATCACTTGGACTTTTTTTAAAAAAATATTTATTTTTATTACATTTATTTATTGTGTGTGTGTGTGGCCAGCTCAGCCCACCAGGGGGCGGGGCTGGCTGGCATGTGGTGCTGGAGGATCGAACCGCGGTCCCTGTGCTTTGCCAAGCTTGTTTCAAGTAGGTGCTTTAGACCACTGAGCCATCTCTCCAGCCCTAGCACTTGGACTTATAATTATATCTGTGTCCATTTCCCTTGCTAGATTGTGAGATCGTTGGGGGAGGGAGATGTCTTTACTCATCTCTGTACCCCGAGTGCCCCGCACATACAGAATGCAGAAAGGCTATCTCCAGATCTAGAGCAAATTACTTACATTTGGTTATGGGAGACCAGATCTCTGGAAGAGAAGTGCCCATCACCTGCAGTGGGCCCCTAGAAGACTGGCTCTTGTATTCAGGCATTTCAGAGACAGGAACAGACAGGGTCGAAGCCACAGAAGACATTGAAGAAGTGTCCGGAGCACGTGCAGTGGCGCGGGTGTGGGTGGCTGTATCCGTTACTGTGTGGGGGCCTGTAGGCTCTGCATCTCACCAAGTGAGGAAATGCATGGTGTTCTGCTCCAGTCTAGGGACAGTGACAGAGCACCTCATTCCCTGTTGGGTGGACATTTGGGCGAGTCTCCATTTTCTTCCAAGTTCTTTTTCTTTTTAAAATCTCCATTTAAAAGTCAGTTTAACAATTCTATTTTTATTTACTGGTGCTAGGGTTGAGCCCAGGACCTTGTACATTATCACTTGTTACAATCATTCATTTATTTATCAACCTCTTTTTTTTTTTTGGCGGAACCAGGGATTGAACTCAGACCCTTGCGCTTGCCAGGGAAGTGCTTATTGCACTGAGCCATCTCCCCGGCCCTCAACCTCAATTTTTAAAAAAATTATTTTCATGGAGTTGGGGGGGCTCAGTGATAGTGTGTGCTTGTCGTGTGTGAGGTTCGCTGCCAATAAATAATTTCAGAGGCTCTTATGTGTAAAGGCTAAAAATCTTTTTAAAAAAAAATATTTATTTATTTATTTATTTATTTTGTTTGTTTGTTTGTTTGTTTGTTTGTTTGTGTGTGGCCAGGTCAGCCCACCAGGGGGCAAGGCTGGCTGGCATGTGATGCTGGGGGATCGAACCGCGGTCCCTGTGCTCTGCTTTGCTTAGCTTATTCTAAGTAGGTGCGTTAGACCTCTGAGCCATCCCACCAGCCCAAGGCTAAAAATCTTACAAATAATTTTTCCCAATAATTCCAAATAACTTCCTGCTTACTATATAAATAATATTGGCTTCTTAAACAAAATTAACCTTTTGTTGTTGGTAGTGCTGGGGATTGAGGAGGGCACTGTCTGTTAGGCAAGTGTTGTATAACTAAGTTAGGCCCCAGCTCCTAACTTTTTAAAAAATTTTTCCTGTTCTAGGGATTGAACTCAGGGCCTCTTGAACACTAGGTCAGCTCTTTACCACTAAGTTACACCCTCCAACTCTTTTAAATTTTTAAATTTTGAGCAAAAGTCTCACTAAGTCACCCAGATTGAGCTCTCTACCTTTGTATACTCCTGCCTTGGCTTCCAAGTAGCTGGGATTACAGGTGTGCACCAGTGCGCCCTTCTCATGTTTAAGCTTTCAGGGGAAGACTGGAACCCACCTACAGTGACACTCCAGGATGAGATCGACACTGAACTCCACTCCTTTGTGAAGCTCTGCAGGCTCAGGCTTCTAGGGTCAGAATCTGGTGAAGCTAGTGGTGCCAGCACTGTGGGAGGCTGAGGCAGGAGGATGAAAAGTAAAAGCCCAGGTTGGGTGAAGAAGAAGAGGAAAGAGCAGGAAAAGAAGAGGAGGAGTATGAGAAGGAGGAAGAGGAACAAGAGGAAGAGAAGGAAAGGGAGGAAGTGGAGGAAGAAGGTGGAAGGGGAGGAATGAGAAAGAGGAGGAAAGGAGGGAGAGGGGGAAGGGAGAGGAAGAATCAACAGAAGAGAATCTGAGGAGCTGCCTCTGCCCTTTCTGAGTGCCATCGCTGGTGGTGATAGAGACCCAAGCACTGGGGTTGGGCCACAAGATCCCACCCCAAACAAGAGCCCACCTGAACCTGCTCCCACCGAGAAGGAGGAAGGACTTGGCTTGAAGTCTCAAATGTTTATTCTCAATATATGCTAGATCAGACCTGGGCCACTAGAATGGGGACTTTGTGGAACTCTGTCACACTGGCTTCTTCAGGACTGACTAGGTCACTGGAGCCAAATGAAGAGGATCAGGAGGGTGGTAGCAACCATGATGCCTGGAACAATGTATGGGGAGAATTGTGAGGGACTCTGGAAGACATGGTTGGTTGGCTGGGTCACCCCTTGTTGATTAGTCTGAGGCTGAGACAGGAGGTGCGAGTGGCAGGATGTTTTTGGCTGCCTGTCTGGAAACTCTGCTTCTATAGGGCTCAGCCCGCTGCTTTCCTTGCTCACCTGCAGGTTGATGGGAAGCAGCAGTCAGATGCAACCTCAGCAGTCTCCCCTGCTTTTCAAACCACCGAACCAACCATCCTTTGCTGCTGCCCAGCCCAGCATACCTGCTCCACTTGCCTGAAGACCCGAAGCAGGTTTTCTCGAAGGACACCTCGAAGCTCTTCCTCACTCCAGCCCCGACTCAGTAGCTCCTCTATCAGCACGGGGTATGTGGACACGTCCTCCAGCCCCCGAGGGAACCTGTATGGCCACCCATTGGCTAGCTGTGGACGCTTAGCTTTGGGTGTAGTGTAGGGCCTGCTGTCCCACCAGTCCTAGTCACACAGGACTAAACCTGAAGGCCAAGGGCTTCATCTATGGGAAGTGACTTTAGAGATGCTTTGAGGACTGAGCTTCTGTCACACTGGTAGCTTAACAGAGGGTCAGCTCACAGCAGATGATCTCAAGGAATAGGTCTGGGGCCTAAGCTTGGCTCTCTGGGAAAGTGGAGTACTCAGCTAGTGTGACCACCTTGGTTTTCTGGGTCCTATATTGAAGGATAGAGAGAACCTCAGAAGCAGACTCTAGGAGTGGAGAGATGTCAGGTGGACTGGGATGCCAGAGCCTTTGGTCAAGGGCTGAAGGCTAGGAGGATCCCAGGAAGGGGATCTAAGACTAAAGGACTCCCTGCTGTACTGCAGGCCACGAATTTCCAGGGAAAGCACTCACCGGCCAGACCCATCATAATTCCCACCAATCCCAATGAATTCGGATCCGATGACTGCCCTGATGTGATCAAAGTGATCTAGAAGAAGGAGGTTGGTTGTAGTAAGCACAAGGCTATATAGTTAGACCCTGGAACCTGTAGTTAGGCCCTGGTTTGAGAAAACTCAGCTGTGACCAATTTCCCTGCCCATAGGCTGCTAGGCCATGGCAGTGGCCACAGAGCTCGGGGGCAGACACAGTCCTAAAGTGGTTATAACTCTGGGCTTAACATGGACCTCAACATCACCCCTTTGAAACTTTTCCTGCCTCTGGGCTTTGTCTGTTCTGCGCAGAGATATGAAGAATGGAAGGTCATTTTGGACTGATAGCAAGAATGAGACTCAGAGGTAAGGACATCAAACTCATGAGTACCTACTGTGGCCTGAGGCCTGGGTGGCAGCGGAGAGCTGAGGCTGCTGCCCCCAGGCGGGTGGGAGGTCTGTACTGCCCAACATGCACTAGACCACTGGGGCTTTCCTCAAGGCCTGGCAGCCACAGCCCATGCCATAGCTTCACAGACAGCTGAGGTGGGGCTCACCTGCCACAGTGGACACGTTAGCAAACAGGTTGCAGTGCAGCACCCCAATGGACAGAGTCACCATCACAATGCCACCATTTTTCTTCTGCAAGAATAGACAGAGGGATACTCAGTCCAGCCTCTCTGACCTGATGGTGTCCCTCCCATACCGTGGATGATAATTTGTCCCAGCTTCACGGGTTGGAAGAGGCTTCCTCTTTCTGGGTTTGTGGATCCCTGAGTGAAACTGATTTGACTGGAAGTATCAGAGATAGAGGAGGAATAGCCAGCCTTGAGTCCAAGGGTGTGTGAGACTTAGGGTAACATTTCTCTGTTACTAGGAATCTTTAGATCAAGCAGGCTTAGCCCTGGGTATGACAGCTGGGGTAACTGCTTACCAGAAGCTGCAGGATCTTATCAGGAACATTCAGGTAACTGTAGCACACACCCCTGGCAGCCGAGTGGGAGAAGATCACAGGAGCCCGAGACAGCCTCAGGGTCTGCACTGCCAAGTTGTCCGAGGCATAGGACAAGTCTATCATCATGCCCAAGCGGTTCATTTCCTGTATCACTTTCTGCAGGGACAATTAATGTTGGGAGGATGTGGGTATCAGGGCACACAGTTATGTGTGCATTATCATAGGCAATAAGTTGGATAGGGTGTAGAATGGGAGTCCTCACCTCACCAAAGCTTGTTAACCCACTAACGTTGATGTAGAGATCATATATGAATTTGGTGGAACTCTCTGCCCTGCAGGACAGCCAGAGAGGTACAATTAGTTGGTCACACCTTGGTCATCAGAGCTTAGAGAGCCTCCATCTATCCATCCACTGCATGTCCAGAATAAGTTATGACAAGGCCCAGTTACTTTCTGGAAAGGTGAGAACCTGCTGGTAGTCCACTCCCTCTTTGCACAGCTTTATCCCACATGTGGTCAGGCCTGCCCCAGAGACGGGGCACTTTCCCCAGCATGCTGCTTCCACTTCCCCCAGCAGGGACTGTGCTCACCAGGGTGTGCTGCAGGTGAAGGTGAGTGCCAGGTAGCGCACCCCCAGCAGATAGAAACTGCGCAGTACAGAGAGGCTGCTGTCCAGTGAGTGACCACCCTCCACACCAATGAGGCAGGCCAGCTTTTGAGTGCGGTTGAGACCTAGAAAAGAATGCACAGTCAAGTTTCAGAATCCAGGGATAGAGCCCACTGCAGTGAGCTCAGGCTAGCCCTGCTCCATCTGCCAGCCCACCTTCAGCTGAGGTCACCAGCTCCAGCTCAGAGTAGGAGGCACACATGCGGCGGATGAGGTCAATCTGCTCCAGGGTGAGGCGCACAGCATCTCGGTCCTGGGTGTAGCACGGGATGTAGGCCGACCAGAACTGGAGGTGGTTCAGAGGGTCCAGAATGAGGCCACTGTGGTCTCCAAGTCCCTAGACCTTCCAATCCTGCTTCAGCTCCCACAGCAAAGTGCTGTGTAGTCCGATGGTTCCTTAATGGCTATTTAGCTTGCTGCCATTGGCCAAATTGTACACTCAGGACCCATCATAAACTGCTGTTTGTCTTTGTGCTCTGGGAATACCCAGGCCAATGTACCAAATCCTCTGTGGTTCTGGCAACTCCTGCACACCACTATTTTTCTGGTCATTTCCTTACTTGTCTCTACCAAACCTGGGCATCCATGCAGCTCGCTTGTCTTGCCCTCCAGGAACCCTAATGCTCCCCAACACCTCTATGATGGGGCACTGCATAGCCCATGTACCCAGTGGCCTGGCGGCTGCCCTAGCTAACTTCTGGAACCCCAACATTCCCCAGCATCCCTGTAGCACTGTTTCTCATACCTGGGCACTCACGAGGCCATCCCTAAGTCTGTTCAGGCTCGTCTGGCCATGGCTGAAATCGAGCAGATTCACATCCTGCAGCCTATTCTGGAAATGTTGTTTCAGGACTTGAGGCAGTTCATTGTGGCTGAGGGTGTCAAGATGAGATCAGAGTAGGAACATGGCCTCTACATCTGGCAGGATAGGTAGCACACTATGCCTCCCCCACCTACCAGGGCTGTTGTCACCGCCAAAGGAGATCTGAGGGTGTTGTCCACCAGCAATGGGGTAAGTGTGGTAGAGCACCCAAAGGTGATGAAGGAAAGAGGGCCTTCAAGGGTGCTGTGAGGACACCTCCTCACTGGCTCTGTATGCTTAGAACCTCCCCTGAGCCAGACGTGGTGGCACATGCCTATGATCTCAGCACATCTATAATCCAAAGGAGGCTAAGGCATGAGGATTGCTGTGAGTTTGAGGCCAGCCTGGGCTATAAAGTGAGCTCAAGGCTAGCCTAAACTACGTAAGAAGACCTTGTCGAAACAAAACAAAACACAAAACACAAACTACCGCCACCCAGGGGAGAGCTCATCCCCTCCATATCCACTCACCCATCCACTAGAGGAAAGTTCCGCATCAGGGCCCTCGCACGACCTCGCAGGCCAGGGGCCTTGCGGGTGCCTAGTGTAGTAGCAGAGCCAGGAGCACTGGGGGTGCCAGACGAAGTTTCAGTGCTGAGGGTGTCCGGCCGCAGCAGCAGGAGAAGCAGGAAAAGCAGCACAGGCCGCACGCAGAGCACGCAGGGACCGTTGAGGGCCTCAAGGGGCATTTTGCACAGGGACGTGGAGTAGGGCAGGATGACAATCACAAGAGCCTGAAACAGGCAGGCTAAGGGGACTGGGTGATGACTGAGTCCCTTATGGTTGATTTAGGTGACCTAGGGCACTGCCTGTCTCGGAAGGTCTCACACTCGTGTGACTGTCACCTTCACGCTGGGATCCTCCATCATAAGCGCCAGGGGGCGCCACGGCTCTTCCATCCTCAGCTAGGAGGGCGCCCCCTTCGGCCTGGAGGCCCTCTGCGAGCAGCCCGGGTAGCCTGCTCCATTCGTCCTGCGCACACCTCTGCCTGGGCTCCGCGTGCCACGGTAGGGTTGCAGGAATCTTCTCGGTTTCAGGCGCTAGCCAGATCCTCGTGGAGTTTAGCGGCGCCGATGTGCCCTGCCCCCAAGCAGGCAAATAATCCCTTATATCCGAAATTCTGATTTAGAAGAGTTAATTCTCATTTTCATTTTCTTTCGGTCACGGTCTCTCTCTCTCTCTCTCTCTCTCTCTCTCTCTCTCTCTCTCTCTCTGTATATAGATGTATCTCTTTATATATATTCTTTTAAATCTATTATATATATGTATATATGTTTTTATTTATCTTTTTGTATTTTAGGGAAGGGTCTACAGGTGTTCAAGGTCTCACCACTAGATCGGACTTGTAGTGATCCACCTGTTTACAGCCTCCCAAGAGCTGGGATTACAGGGGCAGGCTCAGTCTCAACTGCCATCTCAGCGCGCCCCAGGGACAGGGCCAGCATGGCAGTTGAGGGATTGAACCCCAGGCCCCTGAGCCTGCTTGCAGGCACTTTAATCCGCTGAGCTATTTGGCTGGCCCTATTTATTTATTTTTTGAAACAGGGTCTCGCTATGCAGTTCAGGCTCCCAAGAGCTGTGATTGCAGGTGTGAGTCACAATGTCCAGTGTAGATCTGTATGTTTTGACTGACAAAAAGAATTATCTCTAGGCTACGAAAATGAATATGTAATTGATGCTTGGAGTGGGGATTCCACTTGTAATCGCAGTGAAGTAGGAGGCAGACAAGGAGAAGTAAATAAGAGAAAGCCCTAGGGCAGAGAATAGAGACAGGGCTAAGCAGAGCAAGGACTACTGTCAAAATACCAGAAACCCAGTAATAAAGGTCACTCTGCAAGACCCCCCAGCATGTGCAAAACTAGAAGTACAATGGCCTGGCCAGTGTCCAGCCATATTTGAATTGCACTTTTACACTCTCATCACAGGGCCTCGGACAACCCCTGAAACCCTCTCTCTGTACAGCACTATGGGAGACAGGACAGGAGGATCATAAATTCAGCCCAGCCAGACCAATTTAATGACTTATTGACTGAGTCTCAAAACCAACAACAACAACAACAACAACAACAAAAACAATATATGGGAAATTGTTTTATTTTTATTGGTTTTCTGGGACAGGGTCTCACTATGTAACTAAGGCTGGCCTTAAACTCACTATGTACCCTAGGCTGGCCTCAAACTTGTATTGATCTTCTTGCCTCAGACTCGTGAATGTTGGGATTACAGGTGACCATTTTATTTCAGCATTTAGTATTGAATTTTGTTTCAGTAGAAATGTTAACACACACAGACCTTAGAGACGTACTTGCATAGAATGATAATCAGTTGTGGCAGTAGGGTTCTTCTCCCTTTATAGCCCATCTTTATTGCCCATCTCTTTCCGGGGCCTGGTCATCATCTTGCCAGAGAAGAAGGCCATGGGCAGGGCTCATGGTGAAGGCTGAACAGAGTAGTATAAGTACCAGGAGACACCAGAGCAGAAGCTGGAATCTTTAAAGGATGGGGTGTGGATGAGGCAGAGGACTGGATGGGGCATCTAGTCTTGGCCAGCAGCCCAGGCAAAAGACAGCTGTATTGTGGGGGAGGAGCTGGCAAGTCCTCCACCTCATAAAGTGGTGGGACAAGGTCAGGTTAGGGCTTTTGGTACTGAGCACATGATGAGGGTAGAACTCCTTAAGAAAAGGGACTGTCCTGCAGCCTGCGTAGTGTAATTTCTCCATTATCTGCTGGAATAACCTCGGTGCAGGGGAAAGCAAGCTCAGAACTGCAGCTGGTGGCCTTTGATCCTCATGGATTTGGACCAGGATGTGCCAAGCTGAGGAGCCCAAAACTCAGGCCAAATCTGAATTGTTCCCCTCTGTGTGATCCTCTGTGCTCTACTTTTCACCTGGATCCCTACAAAGGGGGCCTTTCCTTTATGGATATCTTGAAAAAAGGCCTGGGCCTCTGTGGGACATTGTTCTCTGTCCCTCTCTGTCCTTTCTTGATTCTATGGGGTTAATGACCAACTCTAATCCAGCCACCTCCAGCTTTAGCTCTTCTTGGGAAGACAGAGTTTTTTCTGGTCTCTCACACAGTAGCTCTGGAGGTCTTCATTTAAGTGACTTTGAACAACATAATAATAGCAGTTTTGCCAGTAGTTTACCAAAACTATAAAAACAGCCAGATGTGGTGGTCCACACCTGTAACCCTAGCTGCTCATGAGGCTGAGTCAGGAGGATGGCAAGTTTAAGATCCTCTTTGAAAATAAAAAATAAAAAGACCAAAGATGTAGCTCAGGCATGTAGCACCTCTGGATTCTATACTCAGCACAGAAAAAAAAAGACCACAAACATTGCATATATAACTGTTTCCTATATTAGGCTTGGGTAAGGGGAAGAGTATAATATGTACAACTCATTGTTAAAATGTTATGAAATTAATACACAAGTACAGTTTGAAATGTCTTGTTATACTAGCTGGGCCTGGTAGTACATGGCTATAATCCTAGTCCCCTGGGAGGCTGAGGCAGGAGGATCACAGGTTTGAGCTCAACTTGGGAAATTTAGCAATTTACAGAGACCCTGTCTCAGAATTTAAAGAAAAAAGAAAGAAAGAAAGAGTGAGCCTGAGAATAGCTCAGTGTGAAGGCCTAGGTTTAATTGTGAAGACTACCCACATCAAAGGTTATGGTTGGCTAAGTACATTCCTCCTGATAATTTAAAAGTTTGGCAAAATAGGTCTGGAGGTACAGCTCAGTGGTAGATGCTTACCTAACATAACTGAGACTCTGATTTCAACCCACAGCACCACAAATTTGTTTATAAGTACTTTTTTTTTTTTTTGGTGGAACTGGGGATTGAACTCAGGCCCTTGCACTTACCAGGCAAGTGCTTATTCTACTGCGCTATCTCCCGGGTCCCCGTTTATAAGTATTAAAGAACTGTAAAGTAGGCATATTAAAGCTCACATTGTTTTACACTTACAAATTTCACTTATATCCAAATCAGAATTTACTGTAATCTTACTTTCTTAGCTTCTATGTGCCACAACCAATGCTGCGAGAGGAGAGCTGAGAGGGGTGTGATGAGAGATTAAGATAAACTAGACACATAAAAAAAAAGCTGGAACCCAGTGGGACCTGACCTCTCTGATAGAGGGGCAGCAACAACCCAGCATGGTTTGTGTCTGTTTATACACAGGAAAAGGGGGGACATGCACCACAGAGTCAAAAGTGTGAGGACTCAGTGTTTTGCTGAGAACACCTAAAGTGAGGGAGTCTCGGAGCTCTCTCTGTTGTAGCTAACGGGGAGCAACACCAAGACCAGATGCCTGCTGGGCTGGCCGTGCGCTGGCACTCTGTGTTCTTGCAGCTCACCTTGCTCTAGCTCCAAATGTGGGGTCAATCTGCAGCTTACGGGGTGTCCGCACATGGAAGAAAACTCACCAACCATCTTTTTTTTT